TAAATGGCACTTCTTTATTATTCTCTTTTTGCCATTTCCAAATTGATTTTTATTGTTTCACTAAACAGTTACTAAAGCTTTGTGAGAAGGAAAAAAAATCAACACACTTTCAAGCAAACAATTCAACTCTGTATGTTAATCTGTATCTTTAAATAAGCAGCAATAATTAATGGGAGTTCGGCACCTTGCTGTATTGTACAGTGACAGGGATTAAACACTGGCACTGCAAAATGCCAGTTTTCTGCTTGTGCATTTGTAGACCCTTCAGAGCCATGAAATGACATTTGCAATCTTTGTCAGTCTAAAAAAAATGGCAAATTCAGTTAAATTTAGTTCTGCCATTCAAATGGAATAAAGGTCGTCACCTGCCCCTTTTGTGATTTGATTATCCGGGAACTGAGTTTATTTTCCACAAGGATGGTCCATTAAAAGGCCCCACTTCTGCAACTATTTACAACATTTCAGAAGCTCAAGTAGTTTCAATTATTCATTATTAACTGACTTCGCTATTGTTGTTAAAGAGTACACATTATACAGGCATAAATTGTTTGCTTAAGTGTTTTTCTTTTCCTAGAGCTGTAACAATCATTCTGCAAAACAATTAAAACACATTTTTTAAATGATAGAAATGAGTACATTAAATAAGCATCATGCACATTCAATTAACTGGCCTTCTGAAAGGCTGTACTTACACATGGTTTACATTACACAAAACATTTTTACTGACTTCATTTGAACAACTCAGTAAGTAAAAGCTCTATGTTCAATCCCTATGCCCAGGAAGAGGAAGAAACTCCAAAGAAAGCTCCAAAAATCCAGTCAAAGGTATAACATCTGGACAAAAGAAGCATACCTGTAAGGAGAAACGTGTCTGCAAGAATGTGAAAAACAGGCTCAACAATCCTTTCTGTATGCTCTTATGAAAGTTTGCAGCATTCTCCTCTTTGGCATTTATAAAATTCCTAAAGTTTTGGAGGTTAGGAGTAAAGTAGAAGATAAGCATCACTTTTTGGTACTGTTACATCATGTAAGAACTGGATTTCCTGAGGTTACCACGAGGCCAGATTGTGGTAGAAGCCTGAGTCAAGTCAAATGTCAGCGCAGAAAAAAACAAATGCTTGCCCTCTGAAGGTGAACTACTTCACGGTTTAAATATGTCTGCAACATGGGGAAATCTCACATCTTACCTGCCACACAGAACTCCAATCCTCTACACTTTCAGCAGACTGTTCAAGGAACAACCACGTCAGGAGCACTCTGAATGATCACAGCAGGAGTGGCAATTTGGCCTTGAATAATTCCTATTCGAGATGGGACCAAAGCTGTACTTGCATGTGATTTAAGCAACGTTTAAAAAACACTGCTTCCTGGGATAATAGTAAGGACTGCTAAATAGCTAGCACATAACCTGCTATTTGAACACATGCACAAAATTGTTTATAATGTATTTTCTCATTATGCTGGACTGAAGGGAATATGCTATAGGTGTGCTGTAGGTCAGGTTCCAGTGTTGCCGTTTGATGGCATGATGCTAAGAGCTCGCTCATTAGAATATGAATCAGATCTCTGCAGAAAGTGGTAGAACTGCAGGAGAGGAAAAAAGCCATTTTGCTTTAATAATAACAGACTGTAAGAGGTAATCCCAGGTACAAAATGATCAAGTGACCAGAGCCAGTTCAGTGAAGAACGATAGCATTTTGTGCTCAACACTTCAAGATTAAAGTCTTTAGTTAGCTAAGCATAATGTGAATCACTTTCATTTATAATGTATTGTGTGAGCCTGTAGCCAGTATGATACAACGTAAGCAATTCCATTTAGTGCAATTTGACTATAGCTAGTACAGAATAATTGGAGTCAGTTTCTAGCATGCTAGAATTCAAGTCAAATATGATATGGAAAAGAATTTGATACATAATAATATGGAGGCACAGATAACATGCAATGATGTGGATGAATAGTTAATATGCTGTAATACAAAAGTCATTCTAATAGGTTATGATGTGATTAGGAGACCAGTGTTTTTAAATGCAGACAAAGGCCTAATAATCACAGTAAAGAAAGGCTATTGAGGAACAGTATAAATAACAGTACATAGCTGCCATTTGACCAAACACCACGTCTTAGTTTTCCCAAATGTAAGATCAGCCAAATAAACATTTACTGGAGGATAAAACATGGCTACTCAAGTGAACATGGGAAATGTTGTACAGCAGTTCCTCAAATTTCAGAGACTGCATAATAGTGTGCTGTGTGATTCTGATTCCTGCTCAAGGACTTGAGCTTGTATTAATTTTCTTCCAATATTAGAAGTAGTCCTGACAGTTCTAGCCCCCTTGGTGCTCTGAGACACAATTTTACAATCTACTGTGCAAACACTGTAGCCTTTTTCAAGAGGTTAACAATGCATGATTAGTTAAAGAACTACAGCATTTCAAAGCAAGCACAGAAACATTAACATGGCAGAACTTCAAGTAAACACCTCCAGCTTTCTAATGTAGCTTCAGAAAACAACGGAAATGTTGTACTATCTATTTTATACTATTTGTAGCTTGAATCCAACCATGATTAGTTCTCTGTTTACTGTTTTTTTCCCTTCCTAACACAGGCTAACCCTGCATACATGAGAAGAACTCATTTATGAGCATGTGGTAATCAGTTCTGACTACAAGTTAAAGTCATCCTTGAGCAAACAGAAAACTATTCAGCTTAGCAATAAAGTTAAATAATTATTACCAGGCTATGTGATGTGACTACAATGTGACATTGAAATAACTATGGTGTGATTAGAATAAGAATGTTATATGTCTGTGATGTTACTAGAATGAGGCTATAAAACGTCTGTGATGCCATACTGCTGTGATATGACTAGTGTCAGAAAAAATGTGTGCATTATTAATGCATACATAAACACGCCATATTTCAGAAGCAGACTGCATTACACAGAAAGCTCACAGTCCTAATTATCTTCTTTATTAATGGCTGTTCTGCTTTGTATTTTAGAAGACGAAAGGATCACATACTTAATTCATTCACAGAATTCTTTTTTCTAAGTGGTTTGGCAGTGAGGTTGCTCCTTTGTGTCACTTGCTTGACTTTCAATGCTGGGGCTCTAGCCATCCTTCCTGTATTACATAATGAACATTTTTCTTAAACTATTATTAGATTCAGTTCCGTTTGCTACCATTACTTGATGTCATCAAAACCAGGATCAATTTTTTTTCTGTGTCTGTAATAGGAGTCTTTCAGACACAAATACAAAGCACTGCAAAACTAAGACTGCGTAATCTTTACACATCATGCAACAACAGGATTGCAGTGTTCACATACGGAGTGTATTATCAGTCTCTATCACTTCCAAGGGAATGTACCACAGTAATATCACTATGTGCCACACAAAACCAAGCCATGAAAATTACTGACCTCTAACAGATATGAGGAGCTTCCACAACTGCCTAACGCTGTGCTGTATGTGTGTATGTATATTGGAATCTGAAGGCAGGAGCCTGCATCTGAAAATGTAAAATCTTCTAAAATCTTCGAGGCAGTAACTTGGATCTCTTGCTGGCCAACGCTATCAACTGAAACAGCAGACACTTTTTAGTTACAATATCGCACATGAAAGAAGATAAATACCGATGTTATCTTTTCTTTTTGTATGCACATATATTTCAAAGGCTTAACCAGAAACAGCAGCCAGCGTGGCCATGTATCTGGGCATACAAATTGGATAGGTACTGTGTGATACGGCTTCCAAGTTCAAGCTGAGAAAAGCTAGCAGTAAAAGCATAGTCAAATGAAGATTCATTCATGCCTGAGAAAATGTTTTAAAATGCACTACATATAACACACCATATATAATGTACTATAATCATCCTCTTGTCACACTTTTGAGGTCAGTTGTATCATAACACATCGGCATTTTATTACACCGTCTTCCAGGCATGTGATGCTGCTTTGTGGCTAGCTGGATAATTCACCTGTGTCATTTACAGGGAAAGAGAAGTGATCACTTTTATTATTTATCAGGCCACAGAAAAGTGTTTTCCAGCTCGATGTTTAAGCAGACAGAAACACAAGCAGCTAAACAGCTCTCCCTTTCCTTCACTGAGTATCTCCGCTGACCCTTCGGGAAGGGGAAGGAGAAAGGTGTGCAGGCGTAAATGGGAGCCGAGACGTGGCTGGAGTCTGAGCAGCGTGAATTATAGATGAAAAGGCATGTATTAAATATAAAGCCGAACCACGCAGCGGCGGGCCGGGGCAGGCTGCTTGCTGCGGGCGGCGCGCCGGCAGGCCGCGGAGAGTGCGCAGCCACTGCCGCCCCGAGCGCGCTCCCTCCGCGCAGCGCGGACGGGCGCGCTCGCTGAACTCCCCCACTCCCACCCAATAAAAAAAAAAAGCCATAACATCCCTATTTTCCCCAGATTAGCCGCACATCCTCTATCACTGCTGCAACCGGCAGCGGGGCACCCCACACTCGCCAGGGCGGCCCCAGCTCCCCGTCGCGCTCTCGCCTGCTCCCGGAGCGCTGCGACCCGAGACGCACTCCGCCTCCCGCCCCCTCTCCGCGGGGCTCCGCGCTTGTTCGCCCCCTCCCTCCCCGCGCCGCCCGCCGGCCGCCCGCCAGCCGCCCCCACCGCCCGGCCGACCCAAGGAGCGACGTGCCCGGCGGCCAATGCCAGAGCCGCGCTCCGGCAGCCGCCTCCCCCGCCGGCGCGGACCAATGCGGTGCGGCGGGAGGGGGGGCTTAGCGCCGCGCACACCCTCCCTCTGGGCTTATTGAGAGTTATATCAAGAATTTCAGTTCAGAGAGAGAGAGAGAGAGAAGGAGAGAGTGTGCGTGAGAGGGAGACTGGAAGGGAGGAGGGAAAGCGCTGTCGCTTCCTCCCATCACTAAAGCAATAATCTATTAGGATTTTTTTTTTTTACCTTTGTTTTCTTTTTTTTTTTTTTTCCTTTTTTTTTTTTTTCTCTCTTTTTTTTTTTTTAATGTGTGCAACTATCAACCTAGAGGTAAGAAGGGGGAGAAAAGGAACGCCAGACCAACTCTGTCATTTCCAGTAAGAAGTTGCAGACTTGATGTAGCTGCCTCTGCTGTGGTGAGAGAGGGATGGAAATTGTGTGCAGTGCAGAGTGGAAAATACTCCCCATCTAAAGAAGTGCACCGGATTTTTGCTTGCTGCTTGTTTGCGCTGTTGCGTGTGCGTTAAGCACCCGAAGGATCGCCGCTTAATAGAAATGAAACATGGAGAGGATGACTAACGACGGAACTGTGAATTTGTTCCCTGGAGTTGCTAATTTGCCACCCCGAAGCAACACATATCTCAAGGAGGAAGCGTTTGGCTGCTGCTGATTTCTCCAAAACTGGTGGTTTACCAGATGCATTGTGCTGTATCTGCTGGAACAGATCATTGCTTAGCTGCAGCAGATCATCAAAGGTAGACAACCAACGTAAGTGCAAAGTTACCCATACAGCGTGATGCATTTCATTAACAAAATAATGATCAGAGCCAACACACAGTGTATTTATCTAGGGAAAGGATCAGTATTTCGGATTCAGTTGGTGTTGGTGGCAAAGGCTCACCTACTCCCTGTCTCTGCATCCCTACCTGCATCACTCCGCTGGAAGTAATCACGGGCAGCAGCTCCCGTGCTGCTTAATGCAGATAAGGTTAGTGCTGAGGGTGCCCAGTTCCCCCAAACTGCAGGTGCTGGAGCCTTGCTCCCGGGTAATTCACAGCTAGCAGAGCATGCAAACACAAGTCCTTCTGTCGCTTTTATTTATTTATTTATTTTCTTTATTATTTTTTTTTTAACCTGCAATATTAGTCTGCAGTATTTATGTGTGGCAGCTGCTAATAACATCCTAAAGGGAGATCAGTGTCAATGGAGAAAGGCTGAAAGGCTGTACCTTTTTTCCTTCCCTTATATTCAGAAAATATATTCACCCCCTCCATCTGTAAACATACTGGCTGCTCCTAAGTTGCGTTTGGAATTTCCAGCCCCCTTGGTTTAGACCGTGTTTTAAAACAAACAAATAAAGTTTAAGGTTATTAAACAGAAGGGGAAGTATCCAAGAGAGGATGCACTGGGCTGAAAGTGTAAGAAACTGTAAGTCCTGTTATTGTCTCATCAGTTAACAGGGATGTGAAGTCGCCAGTGACGACTGCTGCAGCAGCAGCATGTCCGGGTGGTTATTTCCCAGTACGATCACAGTAGTGGGGGATGCAAGGCACAGGGAACAGAGAGAAATCTGGTTAGCAAGAGCTGAAAAATGCGTATGGAAGCAAACAGCAAATGACATTTGGCAGCTGCCATAGCAGTTAGAATCCAGCAGAAGTACAGGAAGATTTTTACTTGCACCAAATGACTGGGTGGAGGAGGGTAGAGGGGAAACGCACGTTACGGATTACACGGTGTGCCAAGAAATTATTCAGAAAGTACGTGTTGAAACTGCAGCTACCCTTAATCCTGCAAGTAGTTATTTCTGTTCTCGCTCTCTGCAAACGCAGCCAATGGGATATTAGTGTATTTGTCCAGAGGGATTGCTTGTAAAGGGGAGCAGTAGGAAAGCATACTGCTGCAAGCGTGCCTTGCAAAAACAAGTAGTAGTTGGAAATTGTGGATTTGTCATACCTTAAAAACCAATAATGCTGTTCTGTGTGGTTGTGTTGACAGTGCTGTCTCCAAATAAGAAATGAGATGTAATGCATCCTGCAGTCCATGCATGCCTCCTCTTGCAAATTGCGCATCATTTCTGTGTGGAAACCTTTAAGTCCTAAAATCCAGGAAAAGACAATAAAAACATTATCATGGACCTGAGGGAATTTTACTTGTTGACCGCTTTGATTGCCTGTTTAAGGCTGGATTCTGCTGTAGCTCAAGAACTTATTTACACTATTAGAGAGGAGCTGCCTGAAAATGTCCCCATAGGAAACATACCAAAGGATCTGAACATTTCTCACATCAATGCTGCCACGGGGACCAGTGCCAGCCTTGTCTACAGACTGGTGTCTAAAGCAGGGGATGCCCCTCTGGTCAAAGTGTCCAGTACCACCGGGGAGATCTTTACAACATCAAACAGAATAGACAGAGAAAAACTCTGCGCTGGCGCTTCCTATGCAGAAGAAAATGAGTGTTTCTTTGAACTTGAAGTGGTGATTCTCCCCAATGACTTTTTTAGGCTGATCAAGATAAAAATAATTGTGAAGGATACTAATGACAATGCACCTATGTTTCCATCCCCTGTCATCAATATCTCCATACCAGAAAACACTCTGATCAACAGTCGCTTTCCAATCCCATCAGCAACAGACCCTGATACAGGTTTCAACGGTGTGCAGCACTACGAGTTGTTGAACGGGCAGAGTGTCTTTGGCCTGGATATCGTAGAAACTCCAGAAGGAGAGAAATGGCCTCAACTGATTGTGCAGCAGAACTTGGATAGAGAGCAAAAGGACACCTACGTGATGAAAATCAAAGTGGAGGATGGAGGTACCCCACAGAAATCCAGCACAGCTATCCTGCAAGTCACAGTAAGTGATGTCAATGATAACAGGCCAGTTTTTAAAGAGAGTCAAGTAGAGGTTCATATACCAGAGAATGCGCCTGTAGGCACTTCTGTAATTCAGCTTCATGCTACAGATGCAGATATAGGAAGCAATGCAGAAATCAGATATATTTTTGGTGCCCAAGTTGCGCCTGCGACCAAAAGATTTTTTGCTTTAAACAACACCACAGGGCTGATCACAGTTCAGAGGTCCTTAGATCGGGAAGAGACTGCTATTCACAAAGTGACAGTGCTGGCTAGTGATGGCAGCTCTACACCAGCTCGGGCAACTGTGACCATCAATGTCACTGATGTAAATGATAACCCTCCGAACATAGACCTCAGGTACATAATAAGTCCCATCAATGGCACAGTGTACTTATCTGAGAAAGATCCTGTCAATACAAAGATTGCCCTAATTACAGTTTCAGATAAGGACACTGATGTGAATGGCAAAGTGATCTGTTTCATTGAGAGAGAGGTCCCCTTCCACCTGAAGGCAGTTTACGACAACCAGTATTTGTTAGAGACCTCTTCCTTGTTGGACTACGAGGGCACCAAAGAATTCAGCTTTAAAATTGTTGCTTCTGATTCTGGCAAGCCCAGTTTGAACCAGACTGCCCTGGTAAGAGTTAAGCTGGAGGATGAAAATGACAACCCTCCGATTTTCAGCCAGCCTGTAATTGAGCTGTCAGTTTCTGAAAACAACCGTCGCGGTCTATACTTAACAACTATTAGTGCCACAGATGAAGACAGTGGGAAAAATGCAGACATTGTTTATCAGCTTGGCCCTAATGCCTCCTTTTTTGATCTGGATCGAAAGACGGGAGTTTTGACAGCCTCCAGAGTTTTTGACAGAGAAGAACAGGAGCGTTTCATTTTCACTGTTACAGCCCGAGACAATGGCACCCCTCCTTTGCAGAGTCAAGCAGCTGTAATTGTTACTGTGTTGGATGAAAATGACAACAGTCCCAAATTTACTCATAATCATTTCCAGTTTTTTGTATCAGAGAACCTACCAAAGTATAGCACTGTGGGGGTGATCACGGTGACTGATGCAGATGCTGGGGAAAACAAAGCGGTGACCCTTTCTATTCTCAATGACAATGACAACTTTGTGCTGGATCCCTTCTCTGGAGTTATAAAGTCCAATGTTTCTTTTGATCGAGAACAGCAGAGCTCCTATACCTTTGATGTCAAGGCAGTTGATGGAGGGCAACCTCCTCGCTCTTCTACAGCAAAAGTGACCATAAATGTCATGGATGTTAATGATAACAGTCCTGTTGTCATCTACCCGCCTTCTAATACTTCTTTTAAGCTGGTGCCACTCTCAGCAATTCCAGGATCAGTGGTAGCAGAAGTGTTTGCAGTGGATATCGACACCGGAATGAACGCTGAACTGAAGTACACAATAGTGAGTGGAAATAGCAAAGGTCTGTTTCGGATTGATCCAGTGACAGGTAACATCACTCTGGAGGAAAAGCCAACTCCTAATGATGTGGGGCTGCATCGCTTAGTTGTCAACATAAGTGATTTGGGTTATCCCAAATCTTTGCATACTCTTGTGCTTGTTTTTTTGTATGTAAATGATACTGCTGGAAATGCCTCTTATATTTATGACTTGATACGCAGGACTATGGAAACGCCTCTGGACAGGAACATAGGAGACAGTAGCCAACCCTACCAAAACGAGGACTATCTCACAATCATGATTGCTATTGTGGCAGGTGCCATGGTTGTCATAGTGGTGATATTTGTCACTGTTCTTGTTCGCTGCCGGCATGCATCCAGATTCAAAGCCGCCCAGAGGAGCAAACAAGGTGCTGAATGGATGTCTCCCAATCAGGAGAACAAGCAAAGCAAGAAAAAGAAAAGGAAGAAAAGGAAATCTCCGAAGAGTTCTCTTTTGAACTTTGTGACCATTGAGGAGTCCAAACCTGATGATGCAGTTCATGAACCCATCAACGGGACAATAAGCCTTCCAGCGGAGCTGGAGGAGCAAAGTATAGGAAGATTTGATTGGGGCACAGCACCACCAACAACCTTTAAGCCTAACAGTCCTGATCTTGCCAAGCATTACAAATCTGCCTCTCCTCAGTCTGCTTTTCATCTCAAACCTGACACTCCCGTTTCAGTGAAAAAGCACCACGTGATTCAGGAACTCCCTTTGGACAACACCTTTGTTGGTGGCTGTGACACCCTTTCCAAACGCTCTTCCACTAGTTCAGATCACTTCAGTGCCTCAGAGTGCAGTTCCCAAGGAGGCTTCAAGACAAAGGGCCCCTTACACACCAGACAGGTAAACGAGCACTTTTACTGGTCTATAAGTACTGCATACAAGTGCCCGATCAACCAGTATTAAAAGTGCCAGTATGTTCTTTTTTTTGTTTCAGTCTAATTTAACTTAAATATATTATGGGGGGGAAAAAAAAAAAAAACAACAACAAAAAACAACAACCAAATAAAATAATAATAGTAATTAAAAAAAAAAAAAAAAAAAAAACCATACAAAAAACAAAATCAAGAAAAGAAAAAAAACCTCAACCACATTATTGCTTACCTGGGGCTTACCCACACATTTTCAAAATGCCTCTGGTACTTTGGATTCTGAAGATTACTGATTGTTGTAGGGGTCCTTACATATGCACATGCGTATGCATAAACAGACATGTGTTGTTTTTTTTTTTTCTCCCCAGTTTTTGACTACCCAAATGTAAATGTTATTGAAGAAAAACCTCTTTTATGCCAAATTTCATTTAGAAAAACGTGACTGCTTTGAGATTGAAGGGATGTATACATTCAATGTCAAATTTCAGAGTGAGTTGGCTTGAATTTCTTTAACAGTTCAAGTTGATATGGAACTTTATTAAGTTAGTGCTACTAAAGGGGTTAATTTTTTTTTCCCTAACAAAGACAGCTGAATTTCCAAGCTACTTCATCTGCGAAGCATGTGGTTTGTTCATAGAATATAACTAAGCCATACAGAAGTCTTCCTCTGTTTTGAGTTTAAATGATTTTGTTGTAATAGATTAAAGTTGGTATTGCATAGACAGTTCCTTGCATATTTTGAAAAAATGGCCAAAGCATACTTTCAAAAGGATTGCGTTCTCTGAATACATCTGAATTATGCAGAAAGAAGTCAGCCCATTGTAAATATTTTCTCATCTTAGTAATGCATAAGTGATCTGTCATAACTCATTTTAAACTGTGAAATACGCCATATGAAGAGGGATTAGGAGGCTGAGAAACTCATATTTCAACCAAATCCAGCATTAGTTTTTCTTAGGTCTAATAATTCCTTGCTAATAAAGATTTAAATGCAGTGCTGTCTAATTTATTTTATTGGTGCTTGTCTTTTGCCACTAAATTAGAATGTCAATATAGCCTGTAGATGGCACTAAGGTACTATGTCGCTTACGCTGGCCTGGTGCCAGTCCTGCAGTAGGTAGGAAAAGGGGGGAGGGAAGGACTAAGCTGATATTCCAGCCAAAGAACCTTTTATTTAATGGTAGTTGCACTGGGCTGGTCAGTAGTTAAGTTCGTGTGTTTACAAAGCAGCTTTCCAAGTGCTTAGCTTCCACTGCACCAACTTCTTAGGTGTTAGGAATCACTGTTGTATGCCTGTTGGCACTGCACCCTCCAAGTTATGGTGATTTCTCAGAATTTTATTAGAGATACGAATCTTGCAGAATCAAGCAAGACACATTTAGGCTTGTCTTTGCAAAAAGATTTTGACAGTAGCCAAGTTTAGGATAAAGTCATTCTCTTGCTGTTGCATTAGCCTTATCTGAGATGAATGTGGTGTACCCAGAACTGTCTTGACTTTGGGTGTCTGTAAGGTGTCACACTAACAAGATACTAAGAATAAAACAAGCACTTTTGAGGCAGTTCTGCTAAAGTAACTACTCTGAGACAACCGATAACAGTGAGATACTGAAAACATCTAAGAAGGTTCTCACAAAACTGTCACCTTTCTAAGAAATTGAAGTCGTGGTGAACTCCAGTGGCAGTTTTTAAGCTGCTGTACAGCACCATATACATACTGTCTGCATAAGTTTAAGAAAAGATCTCATTTAAAACAAACAAAAATAATCTGTACAAGAGCTCTGCATAATCAGTGGTTACTTGGCTGAAGTTTTCATGAGATTTTTTTTCCCCTCGGTTTAGTTACAAAATGTAACACCTCCAACCCACACATTCCTTTTCTGTTCAGAGATGTTGTTGAATTATCTTAAATTATCTCTCCAAACTCTATTAAGAAACTCAGACTTAATCCCCCACAGTAAACTGGGAAATTTAAGGTTTGAAATATTATTTACCTGACAGAATGTATATGCTCTGCACAGTGAAATTGAATATGAGCAAAATATAATTTAGGAAAAAAACAAAGAAACAGAAAAACACCCTACAGGTGTATTTTTAGTTAGTTATGTTCATTATATTAAATGTATTGGTTTCATTTTAATAACTGTCTATGTTTCTCTATATGGATATGATTCAGGTTTCACTGAAGTCTTATTAAATCCTTTCTGAAGTCAGCAAATATTCATATCATGTGATTTGAATCACTCCCTGCAAAAGCTGCAATATTATGTCTAACTGCAAGTATAACTCTTCCTTAGGCATACAGTTATCTAAACTGAGTTTATGTACGTTTATTCTGTGGGGAAGGAGAAGGTGCTGCTGAGGTTTTGTTGTTTTTTTTCTCAATGATGCATGTTACAGGAAGTAACCTTATGTCCCCTTAACACTTTTGGCTGGAGGAGAGCAGCCAACAATGGCAGTAATCATTAGCAGTCTTTGTACTATTCTTTCTGTAATTCCTGGGATTAGGATCTTGACTAACATGCACTGGCACTGCAGTTAAATACTCTTTCATAGGTCTTTCATAAATCTTTTAAATAGATTTTTGTAGAATATGTCCTTTAAGCAAAATATTCAGACTTAAAATAGAAATCTTTCTGAACAGTAGTTTAAACTAATGTTGCAGTATTGGAAACACTTTTTCTTTTTTCTTTTTTTTTTTTTTTTAATTCCTTCATGAAGAGATATTTAATTCTGTTTTCTTGAAATTTAAAATAATTGTTTTCTTTGTCATATGCTGGAAGTTGTAGTAAATTACTTGTAATATAAGTTTTCTGTGTGTGGTTTGCAAAATGTGTGGGAATTGTGGAGAGTGTTGAAATAGGGAAAGAAATATAGGATTAGTATTTGTCTAAGAAATGCTAGCATCCTATGTTTCTACTTCAAATTTCTTTCAGTTCAAGCAAAATATACATTAAGTGTATCTTGCAGATGACTAAATTAAAACTGGTATGGAGATGAGACCCAAGTCCCCACTTGGACTTCATTTAAACAAAATCCTATTACTTCTAATGGGAGCTGGGCTCTAGAAATCTGTTAGAACTGGGACCTGTGTCAGAAAGCCTTTAGAATTCAGAAATCAATCGTTCAATCCTAATTTATTAATATTTTTTACTGATTCTGTGTTATTGTTGATAATTTTAGAGGAAATTCTGTGGTTAAGTCTTTTCTTCACATATCTCTTTGAATTGCACAGGTTGATGTTTCAGAAGTACCCAGTATAAAAACCAAAGCCTTCTTAAAGTGCCTATCTTGCAGTAAACCTGGTGGATGCTCTGAAAAGAGCATTTTTGAATACTTGAACTTGGGATTGTTCTAAATGCTAATTCACATAATTAGGAGTATGGAAAGGATGTTACACACCACCAGCTCATATAGCTAAGCTTCCAAAATCAGTGTTATGACTCATAAAGAATGCTGAAATCTATGCAGGCTTCTCAATCAGTGTTCTTTTCAGAATTTGATTGAACTTTAAAATGCACTTGAAATTAGTAAGTCAGTACACCAAACAACTGCATAGAAATATAGTAGAAAACGACATGTATTCTTCAGAGTGAAAGGCCTTTTATAAAAAGCAAATAAATAGACAAAAGCCTCCTACTCAGTATCATTAGGTTAACAACAGATTAAATAATAAAAGAAATTATGGCCAATTTGCTGTGGTTATCCCAGTTTTAAATTATAACTTTATTTAATCAGATTTGAAGCACAGCACTGGCAAATAAAACAGTTTGTAAAATAAGTTTCAGTGAAGGTTTTGAGCAAAACCTTCAGTCTACATTCCTAAGAAAACAGCATTTAGAAACGTGTTTAGCTTTCATTTAAAGTGATGGGAATGAAGCACATCCTTGAAGTCCAAATGACTTCAGATGTTGTTTTCAAGAAAGACTGCACACAGTAACTCTTATGAGTCAAGATGATGATTTGTAAATTCTGGAAATGTGTGTAGTTCCAGTACTTTCTGGAAGGCTGAAAATATGTTGTCACTGTCCTTCTACTTCTGTGTTCTGATGGTAGAAATTAGGATTTGGGGCTGAACGCATTCCACACTAAAGTCTTTTGGTTTTTATTTTTCTTTTTAATGATACAGTCAATAACTATGGAGCTTCCTTTATTCCTTTTTCAGTCAGTGGACTTTTTGCCTGACCAAGGAATGAGTAGCCAGGCTCCTGCTGATCAATGCAGATTACTTAAGCTTATCACATAAAACTTTCTGTTGGCAAATGCAGCTGATATTGTCTTATACTGCAATGTTTAAATTTGTAACTTTGGGGTTTATATAAGAGAAAAAAAAAATGCTGAAAATGTTAATAACTCTAATTTGATATGCCAAGAGTGGGAATTTCAAGATATACATGAAGGAAAGCTGCATTGGAACAGCTGTATAGAATTTACATCACCTGCAAATATTAACGTTTTGTAACCATAGCATTCCATAATTCTGTACATAATATTATTTTTAGTGACCCTGTTTTAACCTACTACTACTAGTAGGGAAAAAAAAGCAACAACAACAACAAAAAAACCACAAACAAACCCAAAAACACAACACAATTCCACTGTTTCTTTTCCTTTCCATGTTTAACTTGTTTTATAAGTTAGCATGGATGTTAGTCCTGGGTGGGGACTACTTGCCTGGAAAAATGCCTGCATGTAAAATTCAATTGTTTCTAGGTTCCATATATTTATGTATCTATATACTAAAATATTTGAAAAGTTGAAAATGCACAATGCATTTTCTTTTTATCCTTGTATAACTGAAAAATAGGTTAACGGATTTTGCTCAACTGTCTAAAGAAATTCATCTTTCAGCTGAGACCAAGCATGGAAAATTTCAGCTGAAAAGAAGAATTTTTCAGAAAGTTAAGAGCATGTGAAAACTGGGGGTTATAATGGAAATCTGAACATAACCTTAAGCTATAATACCATTTTCAG